ACACAAAAGAGAGGATTTGAATATGAAGAATGAAATTGATTATCTTTTGTTTTATGGAATCAATTGCTTTCTCAAGGATGAATTTTGTGTTTTCAATTGTTTTTGCCTTGAACATTGATCACCTATTTATAGGTCTCAAACATACTTCACGGAGTAGTGCTAAAATTAAATGAAAGGCCACCAAAATTCAAATAACAACGGCAAAAAAATGGCTAGTTTGTGCGACCACATAAGCCACAAGGTTGTGCGATCGCATAATGATTTATAGAGCATTCCAGCCGCGTGAGATATAGATCTATGCGACTGCATAGGATTGCTCTATTCGGTCGTATAGAGCAAAAAAATAGTCATTTTTTGGCCGTTGCTATTTAAATTTTGGTGGCCTTTTGATGCAGGAGGTTCCAGATCAAGTGAGGACGAGATGTCAGATAGCATATTGATGGCGTTGAAATACCATGAGATGGCGGATCGGCGCAAAGATGAAGGTGATTGCAACACTTTCCTTAATTCAGACAATTTTGACACTTTTTTGGTAATTTGGCCATAACTTTGGCTATGGTTATTAGAATCACCATTATGACCCCAATTCGGAATCTCTTTTTTGTGTGTACGTTGTGGTCACCAGCTATGCTAGGTGGGCGTCAATTTCGAGGCCAAAATCCGCTAATTTTCCTTTCGAATTTCAAATTTTAGTTTTTTTTTTCCATTAATGGTAATGTTTGGTTTGCCTTTTTCTAGTTGATTTCGAATCCGATTTGAACCAAAATTTTGGCAAGTTAATTCTTTTATTCCATATTTTATTGTTATTTTCAAGATTTTTCCATTTTTGGTAAAATTTCCATAATTTCATATTTTTTCAGCTATTCAACTCGGCTCGTGGGTTAATTTTCGTATTCTGCTTTTTAATAAAGTTAAGTTGAATTTCAGATAATTTTCTTTGTCTCTTGGGCCTTTTCCCTTCATATTCTTCCTATGAATTATCTGTTGCAACTAGCCCGCATGATAATCACTATCCTGTTCGATGTCACATTTCATTTAATTTTGGTACCACTTCATGAAGTATGTTTGAGACAGTAGAGATTTGAGATTGAGTTGGACTTCTTGATTGGGAGTTGTATTATTATTTTTGTTGGTTATTATTTTATTTAATTTCCAACGGAATTATTCGTTGAAAAAATTCATCACCATATTATTTAATTTATTATTTTTAAGTTTTTACTAAAGAATTAGCTACGAAATTATACTAACGGAATTTTAAAATATCTTTTTTGTTGTAGTGCAGTCTGATCGATTTTCACAACTTTATGTAAAGATAAAACATTACTTATGTTGAAAAACAAGTCAATTTACAATAACCTGGTAATAGAACTAATATCACTTGCTATGAATATTAAAGTCAAGAAAAAATGACAAAATGAAGAGAATCACACAAGTACACAAGATTTAACGAGGAAATCCAAATTCGAAAAATCCATGGACAGAAGCGGAGAATTCATTATGATAAATAGCAAAGAAGTACAAAAGGACTTGTAAGACTCTCAACCTATCTCAAAATATGCGAATCTCTTTCTCCATAAAAGTATCCTCTCACTTTGATGTTCTCTCAATATTATACCATGTTTTGCTATTTTACTCAAGGTTTTGAAAAGTGTGAACCATGTGGAGAATATATAGAAGCCCAACTTTGTGTTTTAAATTAAGTAGAATATAAGAATTGTGGTCAAAATCGGATTCCTCCTGAATAGGTGGCACCTCGATGCCGTGGTTGGCGCTCTGCTGTTCCTCCTTTTGCTAAATAGAGCCTAGGCGCTGCGACCCGACGTCCAGATGTTCTGTCTCTATCCAAGACACTTCCAAAAGCATTTTTATCCATTCCTAAGTCATTCTTTCAATCAAACTTCCGATCCTTGATGAAATACGATCCATCTTAAAATCGGACTTCCAAACAAAAAATTATAACCACTATTAAAAGTTGGGATAGATCAATTGTTGGGACTCTACTTAACAAGCACAGCGGGAAATTAAAATAGATTTCAATTCCCACCAGGAATCTCTTTGTGTTTAGATAAAAATTGTTAAAAGATTGTGCCTTTTCCAGATCTGCAAACTTCTTTGTTATTCTTTTCGTTCCAGCAATCTTGATTCGCCACCCACAGCTGTCCAATTGTCCAGTCTCCAATGGTGATCCACACAGAGAACAGATTGCAGCTACCAGAGTTTTCTCCTTTTGTGCCAGCAAGAAAAATTATGAGAAAAATTATATGGATTGAAAACCCTAGCCATATATTTATATAAGTCCAAACGGGCATGGCCTGGTCCGGTCCAATATTTAATTAATCAATTTAATTAAATTCGGTCCGTGAATTAATTAAACAAACTAATTAATTCGGACCTATAAATAACCAACCCAATTAATTAATTTATCCAACGATTGTTAAATTAATTAATTGACAAATTGCAATCTTCCAATTTTCTTTTGTGTGTGACCCATCAAGTTCCCGATCACGATACATAACGACGTGAAATATTATCTTGATCTAATCAAAATTGATAAATTAAAACACCCTTTTAATTTATCACCAATCACACTCGCCGTCTCAGATTGACATCTAGTAATGTGTTAGGGCAATACATGTAATGAGAAATGTCACGTGGTATGACAAAATCAAACTCGTTCGTTTACCGTGAAACTTTAATTCCTTCGTCAATATAATCCGATCAATTACGATATATGAAAGTGTGTCAATCTCGATTATCGATCATATCTTTCACTCCAATATTAAGTCTATATAAGTCGAAAACTCCTTTTCGACTTATGAGTACACTTTGACCAAGGATTTCATTATTGACTTAATTGAATGAAACGCAGATCATAATCTCCTACTATCTAAGAGTGACGAATTCTCTATTTGTCATTCACAACCTTCATACGATTCTTAACATACCCGAACGATGCCGTATTAGTGGTCCATAGCAGAGCAACATCCAACACCGTTAAAGCATGACCGTCCTCATATAAGGTACTATGATGACCTCAAGTCAAAAGGACCAATTTCACTACCGAACGTTAAAGATTAACCACTGACACTCAGATAGTTATCCATGTGGAATGTCTCGGCGGGTCTCCAATGTTTTGTTCTATAACAAAACATCCACATGTTCATTTCAGTGTCACTACACTTTAACTTGTAAAATCAGCTACTTACTTCATAAGTAAGAAATGCCACACGTGATGGTCTGTCCATGATAACGATATCCGTATCTTGTTATTACTTACGACCACAGACGATTTAAGATTCAATCATATGTAATTTGTATCTCACAATCACAACTTCTTGTGATTAACAAATTACGAGAATTTGAACCTATGGACTCTATTATTTAATTTAATTGTTTATTAATTTGAATAATAGATCTGTCATTAAATTGTATTAATTATATATCAAAAGTATTTATATCCAAAATTGATTGGACTTAGGGCATAACACTCACATCAATTTGGTTTCGAATTTTTATAATTTGTTCGCATTTCAACTAAAACAAATAGATTAGCTTATTTGTCTCACAATACGAAAAAATAAAAGCATAAATTTTTCATATGAACTTTGAAAATAATCCATCATTATTTGGCTATCGTTTATAAATTATTTGTAAGCAATCAAATAGCAATTTTATCCAAATATTTCAGTGGACTTATGGAACGAGAGACCAATTTGTGATCGATCACTATAACCAATTAAAAGAAGTTATAAGAATTCATTATAATCAGTGCCAACTGTTTTAGCGACCATGTGAAGGTTGGTCACTGAAGATTCCCGCCCGTGTCCACTTAATGGAATCAAAAGGTAGATGACATTCAGCGACCACATTTATTGGTCGCTAAAACAACCAAAATAATGCACGGGATATATCTCGCCAAGTGTTTTGGAGACCATGTGAAGATTGGTCACTGAAGATTTCCACCAGTGAGTGACTACTGAACAGTAGTTGAAGGTAGATGATATTCAGTGACCACTTTGATTGGTTGCTAAAACAATCGAAATAATGCGCAGGAGCTACCACCAAATCTTTCAACGACTCTATGAAGGTTGATTACCGAAGATTTCCACTAGCAACCACTGAATGGTAGCTGAAGGTAAATTATATTTTGCGACCACTTAGATTGATCACTAAAACAATCGAAATACTGCATAGGACCTATCCAACAAAGTTCTTTAGTGACCATATGAAGATTGGTAGTTGGAGATTTCCACCAACGACAGCTGAATGATAGCTGAAGGTAGATCGTATTCAGCGACCACACTTATTGGTTTCTAAACAGCAAAAAAAATGAGCAGGATGCATTCTGTCAAATGTTCTAGCAACCATTTGAATGTTGGTTGCTGAAGAGTCTCATCAGGGACCACAGAATGTTCGCTGAAGAGTATAACAAAATTTAACGTACTAAAATCCTCTATCAACCAATGTTTGGCTGATGAAGGTATCTTATAGCAATCACTTTAGATTGGTAGCTGAATCTTTGGTCGGGGGGCTCATTCTTTTTGGAGTGAGTTTGAGGATGAAGATTTGGTGAATAAACTATTTAACCACACATTTTATTAATTTTTATCAAATTCTTCTAAAAATTTGATTTTAATTCTCATCAAAGGGGCTAAATTTAGTGTAGTTTATACATTTTATTGGAGTAACTTGACTAAGACAAATTTTGGGCTCTTGGTTATTTTACGGAAACTTTTAAATTTTATTATTAAAACAAGGCAAATTAAATTAAATATAAGCTTAAAATATTTGATAATCTCTGTTCAACGACCAACAGTTGTAACTAGATTGGTCCAATTATTGCAAAAATTGAGCCATACTCACTCTTGAAGAAACTATAAGTTAAGATCTATTTTGTCATAAATGTAGTTATTTCCTTAATGTAACAATGAGAAAATGGGAAAACAAATTTATATACTAAGTGGAATTATTTTTCCTTTTTATATATTTTTCCCATTTTTTAATTAATATGATCTATTAGTCATTTCATTTTGCTGACTGATTCCTTGTTCCAGATGCGATAAAACTGCTACAGTTTGTTAGTTAGATATTATAGGTTCATTTATTAAGGATTAGGCTGTGTTTTTTTGCATTAGTTTTTACCCAAAACAATTTGTGATTCTTAAGCTGCATAAATTATTTGGATCATGGTAATTTGCACCTCTTTCTTCCTTTATATTTTTCGTTTGATTGTATACATGAACTGCATTGCTCGATTATAATTCCGACTCTGCATAAACAACATTAATTTTGCTATTTCCCAATAAAATGAAGCGCGACGCGTATATGACTATCTTTTTAGACTTTATTAAACATGCTTATTAATTAGTTATGTGCATTTCATGTTTTATATTTTTGCAGATTCATTTTGTGCTTCTTATAAGTCAACAAGGAAAAGTGAGATTGGCAAAATGGTATTCACCTTATTCCCAAAAGGAAAGAAGTAAGGTATTTACTTTAATTCTTACATGCATTCATGTTATTACACACTGATTCATGAGAGGATTTTATTATTGAAGTTTCATTTGTTTTAATTTTTAAAGGTTATAAGGGAGCTCAGTGGAATGATTCTTAATCGAGGGCCGAAGCTTTGTAAATTTGTCGAATGGAGAGGGTACAAAGTAGTTTATCGAAGGTAATTGACAAGAATTATATATGCTTCTGTACTTGAATGGATCCGTTTAAGATAACATTATCGGTTATTGTAGATATGCAGGATTATATTTTTGCATGTGCATTAACCATGAGGATAATGAGCTAGAGATTCTCGATATAATTCACCATTTTGTCGTCATATTGGATCGCTATTTTGGAAATGTAAGCAAACTAAAAGAGTTGTCATAATTAATGTCGACAATTTTTTCGTGATAATGTAAATATTCTTATAAATGATAACTCCTTAACCTCTTAAATAGGTATGCGAGTTGGATTTGATTTTCAACTTTCACAAGGTACATTTATTCTTCTTGATTTACTGTCATGTCATAAAAGTAAATTATTATTATTATTATTTATCCTTCTCAACTGAAGGCATACTATATTTTGGATGAAATTCTAATTGCGGGAGAACTTCAAGAATCAAACAAAAAAACAGTTGAACGGTTGATCGATGCACAAGTAAGTTACTAATTTTACTTTGAGAAAATTATAATTTTGATTGATTGATAGCCGATTATAATCACTTTGAATTATAAATAGATAGAAATTAGTGATAAATAAGTGATAATATTTGTAACTTCCATGAAATATGCGAATAAAAAATAATTTCGACTAGAAATGATTAAAATGGCACCTATTAAACATGCTTCATCGAACATTGATCGTGCAACTTTTATAGAAGCTTTTAACATATTTACATTCCCCCCTCCATATACACATCTTTGCCTATAGACATGTAGTATGTGTACACGCTAACGCGCTTTTTACTTTATTATTATTATTATTTAATTTTTTTTTAACATGTCTCTATTTTTATCTTTTGTAGGATTTATTGGTAGAGACTGCGAAAGAAGAGGCTAATTCAATAAGCAAATTAATAGCACAAGCTACTAACTAATACATGAAAACGATGTGGATGCAATAGAAATGACTTAACATCAGAGTTTATCTTTCTAAAAATTAATTCAAGATTTTTCTTCGATTTGCAATCATTTATTTAATTTTCTTTTCGTAATGTAGGACTTATAAAACTGTATAATATAATAAACATCAATATCTCAATTTGATTGGGAATCGAGTTGTCTTTTCGAAAGATCATATGATCAATTAAGGTTTGTAGTTTAAGTCAATTCAACTCGATTTTGAGGAATCTTTAGAAAGTTTGATAGACAGATTTGTTCTGATCGACTGTGAATTGAATATGATAATTGCAAAATGGTTCTACCTAAGTTCAACCTAATTAAGCATACTTCCATTTAGAATAGAAATGAACAATTATCATGTCGATCCATTTAGAATTTTAACCTAGTAATAATTTGTTTCGTCAATTTCTATGTTACTACTCTCGAAAAGGGGCCCATTCAATTTTGCATAATGCTCCCAAATTGCTGTAGTCACCTTCAAAGGTTGCCTAGATGACATAACGTTTGTTAGTAATGGATAATACATCTATAATCTATAATATATTAAAGTATCACATCAAGGAAAAATCAATTTTTGATTACGTCAATGGAGAATCATTTTTTGAACGATTTTAACCCTTTACAATTCAATTATTTCAATAATATTTTACTTTTCGTTTTTCGATATGTAATAAACACTACATAATTATTGGCGTTTATGAAATTCGTGTTATTAATTCTCAATTAATTAACATTCACATTAATCAGATTCAAATGAATTTTCATTTGATAAATTTTGAATTATATGAATTTAGAGTTATTATAGATGAATTTATTAATATTCATGTATCTAAAAATTTTAATGAGTGTTTAAATTTATGTATTAACCATTATTTTTTATATATCAAATATAATATATAAAAAGATTGCTCATTTGTAGTATTTCACCATTACAAAAAATTTGACTAATAGAAATTGAGTTTTGAAAGTACAATTTTCTTTTCTCAAATTTCTATGCTATTTTAATTCATTCGAGACTCATCAAATCCTCCAACAAATTAGTACCAAATGTTACTTTTACATCACTTATAAAGTATTTTAAAATAATGCGTTGTGCACGTTCAATCTTGACTAGTATTCAAAAAAAGCGATTTGGTATCCGATAGTTTCACCTTTAACATCTTTTCCCCTTCTTTAAAGCTAGAACCATACGGTTAAAGTTACCGCTATATGTTACTTGATATGATATCCCAAGGAAAAAAAAAACTATTTACATGCTAATCTCGAAGTAACATATCTTCGTATAAAACTTGTCCTGCAACTTTTATAGTAATAGAAAAGACTATTAATTAAAATATGTTCATACATAAATTACTGGCTAATATAATCGATTATTTAATAATATATTGAATTACTTCAAATAAATAATGATCTTTTAAATAGGGCAAAAATATCTAGCAATACATTTGTCAATCCATCAAGCAAGGGGTTTCTCATCCGGTGTGCTAACTCGATTTTCATCTGAAATTGTTGTCAAAAAATTTATGCTATATGAATTCCACATCAAGCATATAATATGAAAAAGTCACTTTTACAAGAAAAGTTTTTTGCTTTAAGAAAGTGGGGAAATATTCTTTTAAGTTAAAATTATTGGACTATACCTAACTTCTTTGATTGGAACATGAATGGTGTAATTGTCACAAAACAACTTTATAAAAAAATTAACATGTTTAAAAGAGAAGGTTAACTCTCAATTATTGCGTAAAATCGTGAACGCAACGTTTATTTAATTAACTTTTGTTTCGACTAAGAAAAACTAAAATGACGGGCAACGTGTAAAAGTTAGTAAAGCAAACGAAATAAAACAATAATTTGTTCATATGGTCCAAAGTTGAAGTGGGCAATGTGTCCATGCCTCCTAGTTCTTATTGTACAAACTAAGAAGTTAAAAAAAATCACTTCTCAAAAAATCAAAATCACACAATGATTAAATCAAAATAAGTTAAAAATCCATTTTAAAAAAATCGAAATCGGGGAATCTACTTTCTTTTTAAAGTACTCTACTTTCTTTTTAAGTATTACTTTTATCAAATAAATATATATGTAGCAATCTGTTTAATAAAGTGGATTACTTATTAAAGTAATATAAAAAATAAAATATTGTACATCACATTATTCTGTATCACCTAATATTAAGTACCACATATTCCTAAACCTACTCTAGTTTCTATAATATGTGAGGCATGTTGACAACAATTGTAAGATATTCTCTGGGCAACATTAGATAGAAATATACAAAAAAAAAAAGAAAAAAGAAAAAAAAGGGAGTTAATTGTCTCAATGGTCATTAAACTTAAGTTCATATTTTTGATTGGCCACCGAACTTTAAAATCTCGAGTTTTGGTCACTGAATTTAGGTCCATGTCTTTGATTGGCCACTGAACTTTAAAATGTCGAGTTTTGACCATTAAACTTTGATTTTGGCCACTGAACTTTGAAAATATCGAGTTTTTGCCACTGAACTTTGAAAAATGTCGAATTTTGGTCAATGAACTTAGGTCCATGTATTCGATTGCTCACTGAAATTTAAAATGTCAAGTTTTGACCACTAAACTTTGAAAAATATTGTACGTTACTCACTAAACTTTGAAAAATATTGTATATTATTCACTATAAATTCAATATTTTTAAAGTTCAATAGTTATGCTGTCAGTAACGTACGTCATATTCCAAAGTTCAGTGGCTAAAACTCGACATTTTAAACTTTAGTAAGTAATCGAGGATATTGATCTAAATTCAGTGACCAAAACTAGACATATTTCAAAGTTTAGTGGTCAAAACTAGACATTTTAAAGTTCAGTGATCAATCGAATATATGGACCTAAATTCAATGACCAAAACTCAACATTTTTCAAAGTTTAGAGATCCATCAAAGATATGAACCTAAATTCAATGACCATTGAAAAAATTAACTCACAAAAACGGCACATTAAAAAAATATATTAGGTATTTCTATAAAAAAGAGATTTCTTTTAAACTCTTTATTTAGATGACCAAAGTGAAGCCCCTTAATTTTATAATCAAAATTGTAATATTTATTTTTATAAATAGTCTAAAGCTAATTTATTTGCTAACTAAGTTGAATGAAGCGTATGAACGCATGGTTAACGTATTCCAACTTACCAAACTCGATAACCTAAACTAACTGAATGAGTTGACACGAAATTTATGTATGCAAATGTTTAGTCTTTATATACATACAAAATCTATCAACAAGATTTTGTATTCACTTTCTTCTAGTTATCTGAATATATGTGCCTTGGATGAAATTATGAGAAGTAATGCAATTAAAAAAAAAAAAAAACAAAGCTATATTCTAATGCCTTAACTAAAACTACAAAAAGCAATGTTTTCATTGAGAAAATTGAAAGGTAGGTTGAACCTTTTCTTGTTACTTTGATTGTCTTTAATAATTTTTCTAAATAAAAAATTGAATAAAATAATATCATTAAAGAAAGAGAAAAAGGGGAACGAAATTTTAAAAGACAGAAATATCAGCTGCTCAATTTCTCTCACTTCTCCGACCGTCCCAACCCTCTCCCACGCGCCCACCACTCACCATCCGCCAGCCACCGATCTCTGACGCCGTTAATCTCTGCTGGCGTAACTACTTCAATCACCACCTCCGTTGACTTTCTTATGTTCCCTTTCAAGACAAAAAGGCAAGTCCATCCACGGTAAACAGGCGCATAGGTATTCATCTGTATACGTTCATAATTCCCTTCCTACAATTATGTTTGGATCTGGGTTTAATTTTGTAGGAGTTTGTAATTTTTTGTTTCTGGGTTTTACTAAAAAATGGGGTCATCGGTTGATACAGAAGTACAACCACATTTAGATTTTGTCGAGGGAACATTTAATTTTGAGATTTGCGGATTGTGTTGATATATAATTCTCCTTTTTTGAGTATTTGGTGCTTTTACACGCTTGATTAGCCAGTATTTTCGTTTATTGGGTTGAGATTTTATTTATCAGTAACTAGAACTCTGAGCGCCATGTCACTGATTGATGAATTGTCCAGAAAATGATCAAACGCATATTACCCATGCTGCACAATGTGTTCATTCCAAACGAACTGGCAAGCTCCTGGACAGAATGTTACCGACATCTTTCAGTTCCTGTTTTAATATTATAGAAATACAGGGTTAATTATTTTCCTCATGTATGCAATTGATCCAATGTTAAAAAATGTCGACTTTCACCTGCAGTGGATAATAAAGTGTACGGAGTAAGTGAAAACTGTCAACTAAGACCTGAAAACTTAAAATGGAATATATGATTACTATTTGGAACAATGAAATCAAGAAAAGAAACCTATACAAATACAATTTATGTTACTATATCTTCATGCCTGTTTGTCGATAGCCCTTTTTGAGTTTTGCTGATTGATTGGATAATTTTTATGTATGATTGTGAAAAAATTTGTTCCAATAAGCCTATCTGGATTTTTCTTCCTATAAATCACATGAAATGTCTTTCTTTTACTTATTTTCCCTCTTGGATGCTTTATTCCTCAGATGCCTTTCCTCTTTTGGGGTCGATCACCTGAAAAAAATTATATGAAATATTAATTCAATTATACTTTCTAGATTCCGATTAAACTGGTAATTTTCTGCAACTATGTGCATTATAATTTTGATACTCAGCAGATTGCATGGAGCTAGAACTACCAATAAGAACAGCAAGGTTGCATTAACCTGTCCATACAAGAAAGCCATTGATTTCACCTATCGCCGAGCATTTAGTTCATAAATTTTACCTCCTATAAAAATTACTTTTTTTTTCCCCTTTGCAAAACTAGTTTTCTCTGTACTCTTTGAAATTATAGGATCCGAATCATCTTTCGGAAGCCTGTAAATTCAATGGGGGCCTTCACCTAAGATTGAGCATAATGGAGAAACAAGTTGAGCATTTCATCCTGGATTGTTGAGATTTTTGCTTTAAATAGAATAGTCGCACCTTTATATCATTTTGAAATCGATAAATTAATATTTCTTGTTATAGTGATGATTGTAAAAGATAATTTACCAATTTATTATGCAGGCTGCTTATTATGGTAGATTTTTGTCTGGATCCTGGATCATTTGCTCCTGAGCTTCCAGGAAATCTGTACTGTTAGATATTCCCTTTTTGTCCACAAATCACCATTTTTTACCGTGAACAATATGCAAAATAGTGGGAGTCCATCAAAGAATAGTTCTTTGAGATTGAAATCTCAGCAGTCTCTTCGTCGTCTGGGGCTTTGTTCTCAAATAGCAAACAGACAGCAAACATCCCCAGTCGTCTTTCCAGAAAAACGCAGTAGAGGAAAGACTGCTAAAGGAGGTGGCATTGGTAACAAAAATGAGGATCCTAAGAATGCTAAAAGTGGGGAACACAGGATTGATATTAAATATGAACAGTCTGATTTGCTAGGATATGAAGTATTTACTGGAAAACTGGCTTTGGACAAAAAGAAATACAATGAGAATGCCGAGGCACAAACATCTAAAGAGAATGCTAGCCTGGATGCTGTTGATGCTAAACTGACAAGCAAGGCATTGGTTTGGGGTTCGAAGATGTTGCCCCTTGAAGATGTGATTTCGGTAGATTTCTTTAGATTTTTTGTTAATTTTCTATGACTGTGTGCTACTTTCCTCCAATTTGGTCCCAATATCTTTATATATTTCTTTGGCAGTTATCACACTGTGTTGGACTAAGGCATTTTACAGTGCATGCATATCCCTATCAAAAAGGTTCATGTGGCATTTTTATGAGACGTGGGAAAAGTCGGAAAGACTATCGCTTTGTAGCTTCTACCTCCGAAGATGCACTTCAATGGGTTAATGCATTTGCAGATCAGCAGTGCTATGTGAATTGTTTGCCTCATCCTATGGCTTCTAAGAAGCAGGGTTCAGATTCTATTTTCAACGAATTCCCTCCTGAGTCATATATCAGATGTAAAAATCCGCCGAAAATGCTTGTAATTTTAAATCCTCGGTCTGGACGTGGACGCTCAAGTAAAGTATTCCATGGCTTGGTTGAACCTATATTCAAAGTAAGTTTTTCTGGTTTTATGGTTTTGTTGGGTCTTTCCTGTGCGTCTATTTAAAGATTCTGTAGCGGTGGTTTTTGGATGTAATGAAATCTATCTTATGTAAATCTTGCAGTGCATGAAGGGAATTATAGGTCCAGTACGATCAAGGATTTTGAAAGCAGTGGAATTTAAATATAGGATGTAACACGTGCATAAATGGCTAGTTTTTCAGCTCTAGGCAACCACCCCCACAAGGACTAGATTTTATTTTAATTTGTTATTAAGGGCCTGTTAAACAATTCATATACATTGTTTGCCACTTAATTCATTCATTACCTTCTTCCCAAAGTCACTTTTGTTTAATGATTCTCTAATGTGATTGTAATAAGTCTTCCATATCCTTTACGCACCATAAGTTGTCAATCAGCTGTTCTTCACCTGCTAAAGAAAGCAAATGGGGCAATTTATCTGACATTTTATTGCATTATCTCCTTTATAAAGGACGGTGTTTTGAGTGCCATACAGTATTTGAGTCGTTGGAAATTTTTTTTATCAGGTGTTTATTTTACAAAGGTGTGCAATCTAGTGGCGAACCATTGACGTTGATGCTAAAAGCCCTTTTTGTTGTCCTCTCATTGGCTTTGATACCGAAATCTTGACATCAATTATGATGCTTCATTACGTGAAATAACATACCTGTAAAGCAAGAAAGTTTTGGCGAAACTAGTGTTAATTAGTAATAGCGTTACGTTTGATAAGGCAGAACCTGTAATGTTGAGGTTCTTGCTTTGTACTTGTGGGTTGATAATGGAAATTGAATGAAAAAAATTGGGTTCAGGCTCGTTCTTTTTTACTTGTCTGCTTCGACACCTCAGGAATGCTGGATTGATCCATAAATATATTTGGTTGACCCCTTGGATCATATTCTGGATATAGAATTTTATCATAAAATGTGAACCTAAACAACAATATGCAAACTAATCCTTTCCAAAATCCATCAATATTTTATCTAAATAATATCGTTTGGCTTCTTCAACCTGAGGAACTCCCTAGAGGAAAGAAATGAATGTTCGTGCTTTGCCGCTGCTGTTAAAGCCTGACAGAGAAAAAGTCGAACTTTGTCTCCTTCATCAGAATGAACCAACTAAAATTGTAATTTATTCTAGCGATCATATTCATGTTCAGATTGAACCTTTTGTTGCTATGAAGAGTCTGCGAGAGGTCAAATAATGAAGGCTGAGCTCACTGAGCATGACATCACTTATTTTTGGGCGAGAAGCTCTCTTTAGATAGCTATCCAAATATGTCCTGCATGACTCAGTACTCTGACTACATGAACCGTGCTGAAAAAGTCCGTCAATTTTCTGGGACGAGATCGATAGGTGGAAGTCATGAAAAAGAGACTTTCTCTTCGATTCCAATCTGTAAGATATAGAAAAGTAACATACAAATTACACATAATGAAGGGATGAAGCCAATGTCTATTTGGTTTATGTTATTTGTGCGAGAAATGCAAAATATCATGTTCACAAGGAAACTGAGTTTCTTTGTTTTTATGCTTTTATCAGTATGTTATGCACATTAACGTTGGGTTAAATCGCCAATTCCTGTATTCTTTTGTTTTGCTACAAGATTAGTTAATTAGTATTTGTTGGTATACTTTGCAGCTTGCTGGGTTTGAGTTAGAGGTGGTAAAAACAACATCTGCTGGTCATGCTAAGAAACTTGCAGCCAGTGTAGACTTCAGAACATGCCCTGATGGTACTCTCGCTTTTTTTCCCTTTTGGTAACTGTTTGATCCAGTTTTCCTGATGTGTTTAACTACCCAATTCCATGATCTTATGTGTTTTCAGGTATTATCTGTGTTGGAGGTGATGGAATCGTGAATGAGGTTTGCAGAACTCTCATTTCTATTCATGCTTGATCATTTATGTTATATGAATGAGTGGAGCACTTTTGTGCAAACTTGGTTCTAGTTTTTGCGTGCTTGAAATTTTGTTGATTCTATCACTCAATGTAAATCATGTAATAGGTATTGGCTTCAAATATTATTAGATAATCTTATTCCATTGATGAATTAGCATTTCTAACTTCTAGAGTCATTGTTCATATTCAATATATTTGACTTGGTGGTATAGGAGTTCAATCTATGTTCATATTCATATTCAAGAGGTTCTAAGGAGTTCTTTTTGACTCGGTAAACCATACACATTAATTTGATGTGGTGCCCCTTTAACTTAAAAAGGTCTAGTTTATATTTGAGATGGGCTTCTGCAAAGAATAATATGTGAATGATTGCAACTATACTTAAAAGGATATTGTGGAGTTCCTTGCCATATTTTGGAAATAACATTGCCGCAAATTACCATTTTGTTTAGTAATGTTTATTCTATCTTCAAAGTTTTAATAGTTATAGTGTCAAGTGGAGCAACAATTGCCCTACTTTGTCTATCAAAAGGCATGAGATTCTTATCCATTATGGCATTTGAATAGGAGTCTTTTTAGCTTATGCAGACTGCACTTGGTGTTGTCAACTAGATGATAATATCCACACGGGTGGTTTGTTGATGCTTGCGACATCAATGAATCTATTTTTGTGATGATTAGTTTGCTTAACTGCCAAATTCTTTATCATCATACTAATATGCAAAATTTGCACTGAATTTGTTTTACTTATGTTTCAACCCTTGAACAGGTGTTTTTCTTCTTCTTTTTGTTGTACTTTTCTTACTTGGTTGAAACCAAAATGCAGGTTTTGAACGGTTTACTTAGTAGAGACAACCAAAAGGAAGCAATTTCAATCCCAATTGGAATTATTCCTGCTGGTTCTGATAATTCTCTAGTCTGGACCGTCCTTGGGGTTAGAGATCCAGTATCTGCTGCAATAGCTATAGTTAAGGTACTTTGTGTTGTGTTGATCCTGTACTCTTTATGTGAGACTGCATTGTTGTACTTTGATGCTCTAGATATTTGTGATGGTAAAGTTTTCTTTTTTATATTTGCTTCAGCCTTCAATGCATTTTTAATTAAGTAAAGTGATAAAAAGATGACGAGAATTAATTTAAGATCATTTACTTAATTATGAATAAGGAGAGAGAGCAATATATGCTGTGATAAATTGCTCATCAAAATGAAATGTTCTTGAATTAAAGCTAGTTTTGCTTAAATGAGAATTTCTTTTGGCATAGAAAATATTATAAGCTTGTTTTGTGTGATAGGAAGCTTAAAAATAAAAATCATATGCCATGTGCAATAGCCTTTTTCTTTTTCATTTAACTAAAATAATCTTCATAAACAGTCTCAGGTGCTATGCGGCCTAGGCACAAAATATGTGCCGCGCAGGGCCCTGAGTTGCCATGAAGTGTTCTTCTTGTAAGACTATTACTTTCCTCCCAGTTGGCCTGAGGCAACTTACACTGCCTCGCTCTTATGCAAGCTCTGAGTTACCCCAATAGGTCTCTTTCCGAAAAAATAGTTCTGGTGATCTGACCCATGTAAATGAAGAGGCAAAACTATTGATTAACTCTGAGGCACAGTCCTGAAAAGCTTGAACTTTTGAAAATTGAGAAAAATAGATCATACATACTATTAACTTTGCGAGATCTCATAGGCCATGCAATGGACTTGGATTTTTAGAATCAAGGTTTTCTATTGGTGTTTTTCTTGCACAGAATAGTCAATGCATTGATGTAATTTTTCTTCCAAATTTGGGACATGCTTTCATAACTTGGAATTTGCTAACAGTATTTGCTTTTTGTTGTTTTAAGGGAGGTCTTACTGCCACTGATGTTTTTGCTGTGGAGTGGATCCACTCGGGGGCCATTCACTTTGGGACGACGGTTACATACTTTGGTTTTGTTAGTGATGGTAACTCCATAGTACCTTTTATTTGGCTTTCTGGTTCAAATTTTCATTGTGATAATGTAGGCAGTGATGTGAACCACTTAAATTCAAAAAGAAAATTGTTTAAAGTTTATTTCTGTTATCTTTTATTTATTTGAAGTTCTTAATTTAAGTTTCTGCAGAAGTCTAAACTCTATAGCAATCCTTGATACTTGCTTTGGATGCAGAGCTAGCCTAAGAAGTGAACCATATTTTAAGATTTTATATTTTGTATTTTGTATATTATATTTTAGTAATTGATAATAAAAATACATTTTGCAAGGAAAAATATGGTAATTTGATAATTATAATTCTCTTGATTGTGCAAGCTGGATATTCTAGTGGTGTCACATGAATTGCTGGCGAAATATTTAAGATATAGTGAGCTTATAGGTGCTTGGCTTTTTGTAGTATGGGAAATGAGAATAACAGCACTTTCTGTGTCTTCCCTCTTGATTTTAGGAACACAATATAAACATGTTACATCTTGTATAACTTATATCAATTATTAATTATAATTAAAGACATTGGTTCTAACCACAAAATTAAATCTTAGTCAAGGCAGTTAAAAATGAAATTGCGACATGACTGCAAGTGATGTTTCCTTTTCTTCTGCTCCAATGATATATCGTGAAGATAATAATTATGTTGACCTTTTCTGATCTGGGTTGGTTTCAAATCATTTAGCCCCGTTTAATGAAGTTGTCTTCGCTCTTAATTCTTTCTGAAATGATCAGACATTTAATTATGTGAAAATTAACTTTGACCGGGCTTGGATTAACTCCTCTTTCTGTTAATTTCAGTTTTGGAACTTTCTGAGAAACATCAGAAACGATTTGGTCCATTACGTTACTTTGTTGCCGGATTTCTCAAATTCTTATGCTTGCCAAAATATAGTTATGGAGTGGAGTATCTTCCAGCCGCGAGTGAAGCTGGGGAGGGAAAAGTATCACCTGACCTCAAAGTTGTAGACATGTCGGAGCTCTACACAGATATTATGAGAAGATCAAGCAAGGAAGGCCTTCCTCGTGCCTCTAGTCTATCAAGTATTGATTCAATAATGACCCCAAGTCGAATGTCTGAGGCAGGCTTGGATACTACCTGTAGCAGCACTGAGCCATCCGAGTATGTGCGTGCCAGAGATCCAAAGTCAAAACGTCTATCAGCCGGAAGAAGCAAATTGACTGCCGACCCAGAGGTTGTCCATCCTCAGCTACCTCATTCAGTTACTCCTAGTGGGGCCAGGACCAGGTCAAAATCGACGGCAGATAAAGGACGGACCGGATTGACTGTCACCGTCGATCCATATAGGTCCTCCTGGGGAAATACAGACAAAGAGGATATTTCATCAACAATGTCAGATCCTGGGCCAATATGGGATGCTGAGCCCAGATGGGACACAGAGCCTAACTGGGATGTGGAAAATCCTATTGAATTACCTGGGCGATCAGAGGACTCTGTAGACGGTGAAAAGAAGGAAACTGTACAAAAATCTGAAGAAAATTGGATTGTCACTAAAGGTCATCTTCTTGGTGTCTTGGTATGCAATCACTCGTGTAAAACTGTTCAAAGTTTGAGTTCTCAGGTGGTGGCCCCAAAGGCAGAATATGACGACAACACCTTGGATTTGTTATTGGTTCGTGGAACTGGACGGCTGAGGCTGTTGAGATTCTTCTTATGTCTGCAAATGGGTAGACACCTTTCGCTGCCTTATGTTGAATATGTTAAGGTAAGACACTCGTCATAAATCTGGGAACAAACAAAGTGCACCCCCACTCACCCTATTTTTTCTTTTAACGAAGATCAATAATACACACACAAAACACTCACAAATGGAAGGGAAAGTAACTATGTGCTCACACATGATCCTGGTTATGAAGGAATTGTAAGTGCAATGAGTTGGTGATGCAGGTCAAGTCAGTCAAGATTAAACCTGGAAAGCGCACACACAAGGGCTGTGGCATTGATGGTGAACTTTTCCCTGTGGATGGGCAACTGATGTGTTCCTTACTTCCAGAACAGTGTAGACTTATTGGCCGAGCACCCGGTTCTAATAAATGACTGCTGCAGTATGAAGAGGCAAGACGAGAAGGCAATAGCGTATCTTGAGAAATCATTCCCCACGCCTGGTAATCCTTAATGCTGTTGCCTTTTCTTTTTTACGAACTATTAGGTCCTTGTAAATTTTGTTGATGTTTTCGTTGCTTCATTCTTTTTAAATTATGGTTCGTTACATCTACTGGTATTATGTTGATGCTGTTTTTGTATGGTATGTGACCGACAAGCTTGTATTGTGAAGCAAGAATATATTACTTTTCGGGAAATTAATTAGTGAGTTTCACGTTTAATTAACATGTTTATTGCTTTGATTGATCATTATCCATATGAGATTCTACATTAAATGGCTTTAAAGCTTGGTTGGGTGAATTAAAATAATAATCTTCGTGAAAAAGTTACATGGCCATCTTGTTACACGTAAATCTTGATTTCTTGTGCTCGAGTTTGGCCATGTTGTTACACATATTTAATTAAATCTTAATTTCCTTGTATCATATGAGTATGAAATTGACGTGGTTTACTTCTTGAGCCTATGACATGAATCGCTAAGTAGCGATACATTGTTGGGCTGTTCGACCTCCATTTTTATCAAAATATATTTTTCATAGAATAATATTACAAGTAAACTCAATTTTTTTTCCCATCTTTTAATCGCATATTCTCTAAAAAATCATTATTTCAAAATATGTTTTCTTTCAAAATTACATTATAATGGAGCTCAAATGGAGGCTGATTGACTTTTAAGTCTATGGGTCTGTTCGGTGGTAATTATGAGAATTGATTTTTTGATTATTAGAGAGAAAAGTGAATTCTACCTGTGAGTGAAGAAGTAAAAAATAACGATTGGAGTAGTGAAGCAATAGTCAAAAAATTGATTATTTTAAGTGAAAATTGTTACCGAATGGGGGCTATATATAAATTACTTTCTTGTCATTCTATGAGAGAGAGAGAGAGAGAGAGAGTATTTAAAACTATGTGAAACTTTTTATGAGACAAATAAAACGTTGTTTATAGCAATGCGTTTACTACAAGAGAGTCCTTGCGTGTGTGTATTTTTTCTTTATTTATTATTATTAGATTGGAAGATAGAAGATGGGTATGACCTTGACGATTTTTAAAAGTCGTTTAATCATATAATAGCTATTTATAAAAAGAAATTTGATGTCTCTAATTTTTAATTTTCATTATGATTTTAATTATGCAATCGATAAGTCGGCTTCAATTCTAATAATGTATTAAGTGCTTGCTTGGCTAAGTCTTTAAATGATTACAAAGAGCGGGTATGAAGAAATGTGTGATTGAAAAATAAATGAAAGTTTGGGTTCTGAAAATTTCTAATTTAGGGCGTGTTTGCAAAAAATAAAAATTTCTTTTTGTTCAGTTGGGTTGCGGATCCAAAAATTGTATGGATCAAAATCTATAGACTTGCTTATAAGTCAGATAAATTGAAAATTTTCAGCTTATATGGCTTTCAGTTTATAGATATTGATCAACACTAGTGAGACCCCATCTTATAATAAAATAAATTTTTTAATCAAACATCCTAAGTCCCGTTTTATAACAATTGTTCACCAAAAAAAAAAAAAAGACTGTTATTTCACTATTTTAGCTTCATTTTTGACTTATTTACTCACAGGTGAGATCCACTTTTTTATTTAACAGTCAAAAAATTAATTATCATGAACATGTCTCAAATAATTTTTGATCGATTTATAAGCTCTTACGGGCGGAGTCAGCACTAGATGAGTCAAAGTGACCGTTCATGCTAACTTTGCGAAAAAAGATGTATACGTATTTGGCGACAATGAATGTCTCTCGAGAGGGGGTGGGTGCATCTGAATTTGTCCTATCTTACTCAAATTCCTGGAATCCCTTAAAACTTTTCAAAAATACCCAATAAACCCCACCATGGAACTGGAAGTTATAATAAAGCCAATAAAAGTGAAATTTACGTGACTATACATGTTGAACTTGTCATTCGCACAACTGCTAGGTTGACTTTTTTATTTCCAAGAGTTGACTGTTGAAAGTATATGGTATAATTGGATGAAAACACAAAAAGTTCTCATATTCAACCATCAAAATTCTTGAAAAAGAGGTTTGGTAAAATCTTTAGAAATTACAAATGGCTTCTTGGAATTAAGATTATCGATCGAATTTAACAAAAATAAAATACCATTTATCGAGCAGGAATTATAATATTTAATTTCGAGTGAATTATAAGTTTGTGAGCTCTGTGAGTCCTTGTGACATAAAAATATATATACGAATTTATTATTATTGTTATTAATGTTAAGCTGAAACAATTATTTATCGAGCTCGAGCAAAGAAGCATTTGGTATGTTATAGTGTAGAGAAAATAACTACTAACAATTTTATCGGATTCTGCCCCAAAGCTAATCATCGAGATGACGTACTATGTTGCCAATGATTCTCACACCAACCGATCAATGAGATAAATTTTGAAAACTTTGATAGAATGGAGAGCATTTGAATTTTTATGTACTATAAGTCCTTACAAAAATATAGAATTTTATAATGGTTAATTAATTTAATTCATTTTATTCTAATCTAACTTTTTTTTTTTATGACTATGGGTGTTCGGGTCAGTTTAGACGCACTTCGACTAATCTTATGAGGGCCCTGAAGTTTACAGTCGGGTACTCATCTCAGTGAATCTGACGGAATTCAAACTGGTGATCATTGGAGAGCAAATTCAAGACCTAACTGCTGAACTATTTCTCAAGGTTTATTCTAATCTAACTTGATTTTCTTATTGTATTTTTTCTATTCATCTCTACACATCAAAGTTGGAGGATTAGCTCAAAATTCTTTGATACTCAAATATTTTTATTTTTATTCAATTAAAATATTGAACGAGTTTGAATTTTGAAATTGAGATCACATACTTTTCAGTTAGCCAAGATTTGATTTGATTAAAAGAGTTGATAAAAGGAGAATTTGGTCCATTAGCCTAACTAGACAATGTTTTTGGTTAAATGGCCTTTGACCAGTAATAAAAATAAATAGAAAATTGTAAAATATTTTAGTTGGCAAAATGACAAAATTATCCTTCAGTTGTAAACTTAATATCTTTCAATTTTTTCATTTCATCCCGTCATTTCTCCTCCACCCTCCTAATTTTTGTTTATTTTTTTTGTGAAAATAACGTCTTCTTTCCCTTTCATCTTCTTCAATATTAAGTCTTCAAAATTACAATAACCTATTTTCTTCTCTTCAATCACCATTCTTACTATCTTAAAATTATATTTTTTTTATTATATTCTCACTTATTTTGAGTATATTTTTAGTATTTGAACAAGAGTTGGATTATCATATTATTTACATTTGAAGAAAGGAGAAAGATGCTTTTAGAAATCGTATCTATGTTTTATTTTTATTATTAAATATAGTATTAAAAAATATTTAGTTGATACTATTTTCGTAGTTAGTGTACTTTTTGTGTTCTTTGCAACCATTGAATGTAATAATACTCCAACTGCTATTTGAAATATAGAACTCCACTCCAACCATTATTTGTAAAGCAAAACGACACTAGAGTTATTATCTACTGTAGTTTGATTTTTTTCAATAAAATGCCTCTAATAATGAACTCACTAAAGTATATATTACAAAAAGATTCACTAGTCACAAATAACGCTTGAAATAACATAACTTTTATATTATTGAGATGGTGAAAATACAAGTCATCACAATTATATGTATCGATTAAATTAATGAACATATCTATCAACTTTGTACGTGTTATGTACATATTACAATATAAATAAGTTCTGGTCATTATTTTTCAGGAAACAAATGGATCGTGACTAGGGATGTGAATGAGTCGAGTCGAGCCGGCTCGCGAGCCGAAACTCGAGGCTCGGGCTTTGCTCGAGCTTTTTCCAAGCCCGAGCCGAGCTGAGCAAAAGTTCGACCGAAAAAACAAGGCTCGGCTCGAGCTTTGGGCTCGGGCTTTGTCGAGCCCAGCCCAGCCGGCTCGATCTTTTTTTTTTTTTTTAATAACAAGATTACGAATCTAACATTTTCTTTAAAAAAAATTAAAAATTGCATAATTTATACAAGTTACAAATCAAATAAAAATTACAACTTATAAAATTGCATTACAAATTTAATAAAAATTACAACTTACAACCCTCCTCCTTTTTTCGGGCTTGGGACCGACTACATGACGTAAGCGGAGTTAAAATTATATACAAATAAAATATTTCGTGTACAATTTTTCTTGAAACAAATAAATTTAAAAATTAGATGTTGTTTTAAAATAAATTATTTTAAAAACTTTCAACATTCTATGTTTGGATCTGCTGCAACTCTTCGGCCAGTATACTGTCAACATGTTCTTGAACACGTAATTCTGCACATTCTCGATCCTTCAAGCATATTAAAGCCTCCATTATATATTCTTTTAGTCTTGAACGTTTGTCCGATAAAATTCAACCACCTAAACTGAATGGAGCCTCCGATGCTACCGTAGACACCGGAGGTGTTAGTAGATCACGTGCAATTTTTGATACAATTGAATACTGTCTTTCATTACACCTCCACCAATTTAGAAGACTAAATTCCTGTAATTTTTTTTCATGCAACACACTGCGAATGTCCACGCACATATACCTAGCTAACTCGGAGGAATTTCAAAATTTGTACCACCGATATTTCTCGCTCTAGATATCGATGAACTAGAACTAAACGAGGGAACATTTGTATTGCTTTCCAAAAAATTCCATAAATTTTCTGAATTTGTTAAAATATTTCTTGAAAAATAACTTTGGGAAGTAGAATTACACTGATACATTTCAGATAACATAGATTCTATATTCACATGTGATAATTCCACATTCATGGAATTTGAAATCCCTTTTACAGTGGCTATTGTGCCATTCAAATTAAGTCAATGGTCCATTACTGAAACTAAAATAAATAAAGAGGGCAATTCTTCTCAATATTTACGAAATTTTAACCCCATAGAGCAAACTAAGTCAAAAAAAGGAGCAAATTCCTGTATTTATGAAATATTTGTGAAATGTAGAAAAAAATGTTGTAAAACAAATGAAAATATAGGTTAATATACTCAACTCAACTACATTCCTTTATATCATCAAAAAAAGATTTTAAAATTATTTTCATGTGAAATACAAGAGACCATTCTCAATTTTCTAAATTATGTTCGGGTCCGTATGTATGCCTACCATTATAATATAATGAAATCATTTTATCGTAATTTTTACACGAATGTAACATAAGATATGTAGTATTCCATCTATGTGTTA